ACTTTATGGCTGGAGAAGCTACCTGACTCCATAAAAAATATATTATTAGTTAGTGATGAAGATGTAACCAAGTTAGCGTCTATGGCAGATAAAATTAGTGATATGAATCGGAAACCAGAAGTATTTAGTGCTAATGCTCCTTCCGTTCCCGCAAATGATTTGTTGCAAAGAATTACCTTTCTTGAACAAAAAATTGATCAAATAACCATTCGCTCAAGACGCAGGGACTCGGATTTACGTAATTCACGTTCACGATCTCGAAGCCGATCTCGTAAAAGATATGACCCTACTGGCAAATTTTGTTTTTATCACTTTCGATTTGGAGCAAAATGTATTCCAGAGAAATGCCAGCCTCCGTGTGCTTGGGTAAAAAACGATTCCAAAAACCAGGAAAACTCGAATCTGCAGTAGGTTCAGCGGCAAACGCTGCTGCAGAAAATATGAAGGATTGTCGCAAATTTCGTTTATTCGTTCGTGACCGAAGATCAAATTTGCACTTTCTTATTGATAGCGGAGCTGACGTAAGCATAATTCCTGCTACTTCACAGAATAAATGTAAAACTGAATATAAACTGTATGCAGCTAATGGCACAGATATTTCCACTTATGGCATAAAAACGCTAACTCTTGATTTGGGATTACGTCGTGATTTTCAGTTTCCATTCATAATTGCTGATGTCACAAAAGGTATTTTAGGAGCTGACTTTCTTCACAAATATAAATTGCTTGTCGATATAAATAAGAAAAAATTAATTGATGGCGTAACACAGCTTTGTGTCCAGTGTGATGTCGCTGCTATTTCCAGTGATTACTCAGTAACCACATTAAATAAATCCATAAAAATTTTCGATTTACTGTCGAAATATCCCGAAATTTCTAAACCTAACCTTTTTCCTACACAAATTAAACATGGTGTTACACATTTTATTACGACTGATTGGTCAACCCGTTTATTCAAAGGCACGACAGCTCGATCCAAAACGCTTAGCTATAGCTAAAGAGGAATTTAAATTTATGCTTGACAATGGAATAATTCGTCCATCAAACTCCCAGTGGTCAAGCCCCTTGCACCTTGTTACGAAAAAGGATGGTTCATATCGTCCTTGCGGAGACTACCGACGATTGAATGCGCAGACGATACCTGATCGATACCCAATTCCTTCCTCGCATTGAAGATTTTCATCATATTTTAAGAGGTACAAATATTTTTTCTAAAATTGATTTATTCAAAGCTTATTTTCAAATTCCCATTGCAGAAGAAGACAAATGTAAAAACGGCTATCATCACTCCTTTCGGTTTATACGAATTTAATGTAATGAGTTTCGGTTTAAAAAATGCTCCTGCAACGTTCCAAAGATTTATTCACGAAGTCTTTAGAGGATTAGAATTCGTTTTTCCCTATTTAGACGATATACTCATTGCATCCAGTACCCATGAAGAACACGAAAATCACCTTAAATTAGTTTTCGAAAGATTACATACATTTGGGTTAAGAATTAATGTTTCAAAATCTGTCTTTGCTGTTCCCCAAATCGAGTTTCTAGGCTACCTAATTACACCTAAGGGTTCCCGTCCTTTGCCAGAAAGAGTTCAAGCTATTACTAACTACAAACGACCAGAAACAATTCATGAACTTAGAACCTTTTCTTGGAATACTTAACTTTTATCGTCGTTATATAAAGGATTCAGCGAAGAATCAAGCATTGTTGCATGCGTATCTTAAGGCAGCTAAAAAGAGGGACAAACGTAAAATCGAATGGACTGAAGAAGCTGAATAACAGTTTGAAAACGTGCAAGAATGACTGGTGAACACGGCACTGTTGTCTTTTCCCAATTCTGAATTACCTCTGGCGTTATTTACAGATGCTTCAGATACGGCGATTGGCTCAGTGTTGCAACAATATGAAAACTCCTCGTGGAAGCCAATAGCATTTTTTTTCTAAAAAATTAAGTGATACTCAGCAAAAATATAGCACCTATGATAGAGAACTATTAAGCATATATCTTTCAGTTAGACACTTTAAGCATTATCTAGAAGGAAGAGTATTTACAATTTATACAGATCACAAGCCCTTAATATTCGCCTTTCGTCAAAAACTTGACAAAGCAACACCTAGACAGGCTCGCCAACTTCAATACATCTCCCAGTTTTCGACTGATATCAAATATGTAAAAGGTGAGAATAATATTGTGGCGGATACATTATCTAGAGTTAATGAAATTTCATCGATAGATTATGATAAAATAGCTGATGAACAAACTCAAGATGAAGAACTGAAGAGTTTGCAAACCACTACTTCCTTGAATTTCAAGCAATGTTCTCTACCTTCGGGGAAATATTTGTGGTGTGATACATCAACTAAACATGTTCGGTTCGGCCGTATATTCCTCAGGCTTTCAGAAAACACGTCTTTCAAACGAATTCATGGTTTATCACATCCAGGAATAAAATCGACTATGAAATTAATGACATCAAAATTCATTTGGCCTAACATATAAAAAAAGATGTACAGTTGTGGACAAGAACCTGCATTCCTTGCCAAAAAGCTAAAATCAGTCGGCACACCAAAACAAAATTAGGTGAGTTTGAAGTACCACCAGGAAGATTTTCTGTCATCCATATCGATCTCATAGGACCACTTCCACCATCTAAAGGGAATATTTATTGTCTTACTTGCATAGATAGATTTTCGAATTGGATGGAAGCAATTCCTTTAGAAAATATTTCCGCTGAGAACGTCGCAAGAGCCTTTTATAGCAAACTGGATTGCGCGTTTCGGAACGCCAAGTAAACTCATTAGTGATCGTGGATCCCAATTTAAAAGTGATACATTACGAGCTTTGTCCAAAATCTGTGGCATCAATTTACAACACACTACTGCCTACCACCCCTCGTGTAATGGCAAAGTTGAGCGCCTTCATCGAACATTAAAAACAGCATTAAAAGCCCACAACAACATATCTTGGACGGACACGTTACCAACAGTACTTTTGGGTTTGCGTACTGCTATTCAAGAAGATACCAATCATTCTATTGCGCAAGTAGTTTATGGCCAGAGTCTCAGACTTCCTGGAGAGTTTTTCAGCGAACCAAGTATCCAGACAGCATCGGAGACTTTTGCTAATAAACTCCAGAAACAGATGGAAGTTGTTGGACCGAGACTAATTCGTAAAAATTCATCTGAACAGATATTTGTCCATAAAGACTTAAAAACTTGTTCTCATGTGTTTCAGCGAATAGATCGGGTAAAAAAACCTTTGGAACCTCCTTATGAAGGACCATTTCCTGTTATTGATCGCAAGGACAAATATTTTACTATTAGCATAAAAGGAAAACATGTTAATGTATCCCTGGATCGCTTGAAACCAGCATATATTTTAGCTGAGGAAAATTCTCAGTTGATACAACCTGACTACACACTAATTTGCAGAGACCGGACTCAAATTCGGATGTGAATCAAAAAACATTCTCGCACAGGCAGAACTATACGTTTACCTGTTAGATTCAAGGACTGACTAAATTATTTTGATAGTGGTTAACACTGCAATACTAGTTACTACCTATTTCTCCATCTTCGTAACGTAACTTAGTTACTGGTGGGGGAGTAGTGTAGTGGCCCAGTTATTGCATGAGAAATAATTATTTTTTTTATTTCATATATTTGTTCATGTGTTTAATTATTTTATAAAATTAACTTTAATATTTTGTTAATATTCATATTTATATTTCTTTTATGCTGAATGGCAATAAGTAGTTCATATTTATATTTAAATTTCTTTATGCTGAATGGCAACTAGTTCTAGTTCTGATTCATGATTGCAGGGTTTTGGTTTCAAAACGTTGCTCGTAGCGTCGCATTTCGATAGCTGGAAAATAAAACGTAATAACTTAGCTATTTGTTTATAATTCATGCTGTTACTAGTCATAAATTAATTTTAAACATTAGTAGCCAAGGCTACACCTTCGTGGTGCAGTGGTTCTGCACGCCAGGCCGGTATTCCAGAGGTCCAATGGTTCGTTTCCCAGCAAAGACGATTGCTCATTTTTCATCTCGCCTGCTTCCAAAATAATAATAATAATAATAATACCTAATGTCTCTACAGTGGCACCCAAACTAAAAGGGTGTTGGATGATATATTTTTCCCGCCTTCCTAGCGTGCCTTCATGGTGTAGTGGTTCTGCATGCTGGGCCAGTGTTCCAGAGGTCCGTGATTCAATTCCCGGTGAAGGTGATTGCTCATTTTTTTTTTACAGAATTAAAAGTCTGCTTGCTTCCCCCCAAAAAAACCCTAACGTCTGTATAACCTGAAGCATAAGTGAGGAAGCCGAATACCTTTATACTTGGTCTGGACATTGTCTTTTCCACACGAGGAAGTAAAGATACTTACTTCATTGAAATATATCTAATAAGAGGTAGAGACAGCCATACAAGGGAATGCTGAAATGGTTCTTTATAATTATTTAACTCTTTACCTGTCATGCCCGTATCGTATTATTATACCCGAATATATATCATGAGAGGTTTATTTCGGCTTCAGTTCAACAAGTGGCTTCAAAGGATAGAGGTTAAAGTTCAAAGTGCACATTTTTTTTTTTTTTTTTTGGATTGCGAGGCAAACTTTCATTTTTGGAATAAAAAAATTGACAATTTATGCATCCAAATCATCAAAATAACTTGACAGTTAAAAGGTTAAAGGCAGGATATATGTTTGTTACTTTTGGTGCAGACCTAACAAAACAGATCAACTATAGTCTTAAAATGAAAACTACACTATACACTCACCGACTTGAGATAGCAAATGGTCAAGAATATAGCAAATTATCTTTTTAAAGAGTTATGTTGTAAGATACAGACAGTTATTTTTATGAATTAAAGACTTCTTTTTCATTTTATTGTTTTCTTATTTCATATGTATTTTTATTAACTTCTTACGATAAGCTTTAGCCAGACTTTTTTTTAAATAAAAAATAACAGAAAGTATATATGTATGTACTTACTTTCAGACATTGGAAAATTATCCATCATTTGAAGTCCTCCAATCACAAGGAGATTAGGGTCATAATTCTTCACTTGATTTATAAATGCATCCAGAGAAAATAATTTAGGATTCTGGTGATCATTATGTACAATGAAACTATATAAACAACAAAAAAAAAAAAAAAAACTGCAACAATAAAACTTAAACAATAAAACTGCATAAATAATAAGAGATAAAACATTAACAATGCTCTGTTGCTCTCTAAATCTTTTAAAAATATGAAACACAGTTTATTACACTTGAATTTACTGATTCAAACTTGCAATTTTTTAATTGCTTGGTTAATAATACTGGATGAAAAGCCCCTGTCAATAGCAACCCAGACTGGCTTATTCGAGAAGTTGAAGACTTCAAGAGTCTGCTCCTCCAAATTGGCTCTTGATAAAGAACTAATTATTTAAAAGTAGCTGCTATTGACAGGGGTGCTTCACTCACCATTATTAAACAAGCAGTTAAAAAATTCTCATTTCAACACACCTAAAGGCAGACACTTATTTTAGGAGATTATAAGAATTCTCTTGGTCATTTCTTTCTTCCATCAGTTAGCTATAAAATTGCATGTATTTTACAGAAATTTAACTTTGGGTCATTTATTTTCCTATCAATAAAATTCCCAGTTCCATACTTAAGGACCCCATTCCAGATATGAATTTCTGGGGTATTTACAGGATTCCTAGCCAATGTGGTTTAATTTACATTGATCGAACTAAGAGAGCCTTAAAATTTTGCATTAAAGAACATGAGGCATATGTTAGGAAAAAGGAAACACAGAAGTCCTCTGTTGCCCAGAACTGCTGGTCTGAAAATCATACTTTTCATTTTTCTGCAGCCAAAATTATTCAAAAAACATTTTCTGTTGTTGAATAAGTTATTCTAGAGGTGTTTCATATTAAAAATAATCTTTCTGTTCTAGTTAACGATCCTAATTCCAATCCATCTTTACCTTCAGCCTTTAAGGAAATTATGTTTTAGTTTTCTTGCTTCATCAATAGATGGCACCAGTAGCTTAACTCCTGTCCAGCAATTCTTATCTCGTTCATTTGCACTTTGGCAGCCAAGGAAGGTGATTCAATACTTAAACCACCGAAACTAATCCTGTAAAAATTTATTACTATAACGTTGATCCATGTTTGACTTCTCCAATAAGCCAGACTCAGTTTAACCTTATGAAGTAAACCTAATTATGAGTAAGTTCTATAATCAGGAGACAAAAAAAAAAAATTATGTTTGCTTTAAAATATATTCAAATTCATAAATTGAGACCTTGAAATGAAATGATTTTACCTACCGATTTGCTCTTGGAGGTGTATATGGACCCCACCTTTGTCCAGCTGGATATTCAAGCAATAAATGTATATCATCACTTTCAACCTCTGGTCCCGAAATATGAATTCCCGTAGGGAACTCATTACGTAGACTTTTAGATATATGTGCTCCCAAAAGAACTTCACAACCTTCTTTTACAAATCTTTTTGCCATCACTGGAGCATTACCACCAATGTGATAACGACTGCTTGCTGCTTTCTTGGCCACATCAACCAATTCATGAAACAGTGTGGAATTAGATATAAATCTCCTACAAAATTAAATAAAAATGATAAAATACAGATTATTTATATTACAACCTACTTTATTACAAAAAATTAAAGAAAGGACATGCAGATTATTCATTAAAGCTCATTCTTCAGTTTCCTTAACCTCAGTATTGACCCCTAGAATAAACAGCAGCAACTGAACAGTATCAGTAACATCTGTCAACTCATTAACACCCAAAGAAAATGACTTGAAATTTTCTACCTTGTCTTTTCACTTGCACTTGATATGGCTCTTGATGTTCTCAAAATTCTAATAACTGTTCTCTTTGAAGACTATCAAATTGAAACAAATCTATTATCTCTGGGCATATTTATTCAGCTGCCTCTAGCAAATGTGGTTTAATTAACACATTGTCAGTAAACGGTTTCCTTTCATGGCTTATAAATGACTTACTCATAAGCTGGCTTTGGCTACAACTCAATTATTATTTTTTTAAAGAATAAATTCATTATGATAAAGCATTCTGTTTTAAATTTAATGAGTTTAATTAATATTTAATGAGTTTTGAATATTGTGTCCTGCACTCACAATGATGTATATCATACTCTTTTACACTAATGTGTCATCTCTACATATAGTAAAAGAGTCTGTGTGTCTTTCGTTCCTGCTGTGCATAAGCTAATAGACCCAGAGTTATGAAATTTGGTATATAGGTGCATCTAGACAAGAGCCAGTGCACCTCGAAGCAATTTTTTTCAAAATTCGAATCAGATTTTTTTGAAATTTTATCACATTATTTTGAATAGATACATTCTTTTAGAAATGTAGTTTTGGCAACAGTTTTTCATTCAGACTGCTGTCTGTTGAAAATATGACATAAAATGCTGCTTTTTTTTCTTTTGATTTTTGGACACGCACATCTCAATCTTATTCTGATGCGCATGTGTCTCTTGAGGCATAACAGAAAGAATTTCTTTCCCCCCTCTCTTTATTAGCTAATGGCAAAGAGGTTTGTATATTTTGAATTATGTCATCCACAAAACACAATTTTGATTGGTTATTGCTTTATGATGATAGTTTCATTCTTTTAGAAATGTGGTTTTGGCAACAGTTTTTCATTCATTGCTTTGGATACTGGACTGCTGACTGTTTTCTCTTGAAAATGTGAGATCTATTGCTTATTTCACTGTAATTTTTTTATATTATGTTTTAATTATATATAATTTTAAATATATAAAAATTTTTGCATAATACTTTTTAGGAAACCAAGTTCTTAACTTCCTTTATACCATTTGAATTCTTAAGATTTTGCAATGGGAAGTTGGTTATTTTATTTAATAAGATAATAATTAATATTTGTATTGTTACATTATTTCTTCTCTTCTGACACCAGTAAATAACGACGACACTTGATGAAGTATCGAAACACACCTTATTAGCCAGTATTATCAGGACAGCTCCAAAACACGTTTTACGGTCGTCGATGAACTACTAGAAACACGCTTACACGATCAGCGGCACAGCCTTCAGGTTATCAGGCTATCACGGTGGAGACAGCTTCCTGCAAAGCACCTGATTCTGCTTGGTCATTCTTGGAACTCCGTGTACTCTCGAGACTCTCCACGCTACAACTCGCGATGCACTCGACAACACACGTGCACAGCTCCCGAGACTCTTCGGTTCAGTCGTTCCCAGAACTCAACACGCTCTCTCGACGATGCACTAACCGCAATACACTATGAGACTCCTTCGGTACACTCGACGACCCACTCGGCACTCGCTCGCCAACTGTCAACTCGGTCGACTCCACAGGGATTGACTCGCTACGAGACAGCAACTCGATACTGACTCTCTCGCACTCTATGTGAGGCACACACACTGACTCGCCCTCTCAACGAGACACTCACTCAATGACTAATAAAGTGTGTTTGGATACTTCAAGTGTCCACGTTATTCACTCCAAATCTGCACGAACCCCGTACGAACGTGAAGGAAGAAAATAACGTAACAACTGGTGTCAGAAGCAGAGAAAAACGCAACAGTACTAAGGGATATTGCTTATTTCATTGTAATTTTGTTATATGTAATACTTTTTTTTAAGTTTTATTTATTTATTTTTTTTTCTTAATGAAGTTGTTCTGCAGAGTAAAATTCTGCGCAGTTATTAAATTTAACATTTGGTGTTCCCTTTAGGCATTTTTCGGGTACATTTAAAAGGCAGACGAAGGCTGGCCACATAGCTGCTAGTTATATACTCGATATACTAAACATAATAATTTGCTATTTACAAGGCCAGGGCTAGAGTGTTTAGTGCTTGCCTCCAAATTAGAAATAGTATGTGCTCAAAGTCAGCTTTTTTCGTCACTTACAGCAGCAACATGGCAATAATATTTTAATGAAAATTATAAAATGGTAAGTCCTAGATGCAAGGTTTGTCCGGGAAGTAGTAGGACTGATTTTTTCAGCTAAAACATTGTGAAGGAGGAGGATGTTACTGTGCTTGTTGGGCTGTGGAAGATCTCAGCTATCAGCGTCCCAATCGTCATTTGTCCCCAAGTCATTTGTCATTTGTCCATTGTGAAGGAGGAGGATGTTACTGTGCTTGTTGGGCTGTGGAAGATCTCAGCTATCAGCGTCCCAATCGTCATTTGTCCCCAAGTCCCACAGAGTGTGGATTGAGTTTAATGTGAACCCTTTTCAAGGTGTCTTGTCATCTTCACAATAAATTGTTTTTTAGAATAGCATTACATTACACAGTGACATTTGGTGCCAAACTGGGTAAAACTGTGAGCAAGACCCATGACACGATCAAGACTGCTTATGGGAGTATCATGCTCATGGGTCAATCAAGTGTTTTGAGTGGCACAAATTGTTTCGGGCGAGAAGAGAGCAAGTTGAAAATGACCAATGGTCAGGATGCCCTTCAACGGCAAAAAGTGACAAAACTTAGCAAAAGTGTGAAATCTTTTGAACAGTGACTGCCTCAGACTGAGAAAATGAGTCTCCCATGTCGATCCAACAATCACTGGATCATGGAGGCCCCATCACGATAATATGCACAGCCACATTCTCTTTGTTGTCATGGGCCAAAAGTAGCATCACATACTTTCCCCAGCCACCCTACAGCCCAGATATCGCTCCTTCAGACTTCTTCCTCTTCCCTCAACTGAAAATGGTCATGAAAGGGCGGCACCATGGCTTGGTCCAGGCCATTCAAGAGGTTGTAATGAGGGAGCAGAAGAGCATTCCAGTTTCTGTATTCCAGGGATTTGCACAGTTGCTGGAAACGGAATGTTGTTGCAGAAAGGCATATTTTGAAAATTATTCAGTCAATGTGTCAAAATTGTGAATAAATTTTTTTTTAAACAATTCAGTCCTTTTTTTGGAGATTCATCTTGATGTTCATACTGAAATTACTTTTGCCATTATTAAATTTTAACTGCAGATTTAAATTCTAATTCCCCATTCACATCTTCACTAGTTTTTTTTTTTTCCAGTATTAAGTATGTTGCTGGAATTAGAATCTATCTATATTTTAATAATTTATTTTTATTCCTTCAAAGGATTCTAAAGCAAGTTTAATATTCATTATTTTATCTTGAAGATGTTTTGAGCATACTGTTTAGAATATCATGCTAAATCATAAGAGAGGAAATAAATCTAAAACCTTTTACCACACAAAGTTCTAGCTTCGTGTTGTATTTCCGCATTAAAATTATTGTTGTTCCTTATTTTTAAAGCATATTGTAAATTTCTCCCAGCTGATATCATAGACATTGAATTTTTCTTATCAGTACTTGATAACTGCTTCATAAAAGAATAACTCAACATTTTGACATAAAAGCACAGAAATTAAATATTTCTATCACAACTGGAAAATAAACTTATAATTTCTACTACAGCCTTTGCTATAATTATCAACTTAAATAAATATACAAGAAGCACACAAAATATAAAATGGCCAAGGATTTCTTCCTAAAGGTAAACTTTTAGTCTATTACTTTTCTTTTTGGTGCTTAGTGTATTGATCTATCTCTGACCCCTCATATTCTGATTGGCAATGTTGTATTTTTTTTAAAACATTTAACCACTGTTCAGACAGAATGACCTGTAGAGTCATTACTTCCAAAAACCCTAAAAAGAATTTATTGGTTTCAATTCCATGGCCTTTGCAAATGATAAAGCATAAAATAATTTTCATTGTTATGAAAGATTTCATTTGGCTGTCTTTGTTGAAATAACAGACACAGTATTTTTCTTGTAATATTGAGGTTAAATAATTTTAAGACCTTTTTTATGGTGAAACACATAGAGACAAATGAATGTTATAATGAAAATTTAAAATTATGTCTGGCTCTTAATCATGTTACACACAAATATGAGCCTCGTCTGTCAGGGAAATTTTAGTCGATCAGCTTGTAACAGATTTTAATCAAGATAGAGCAAGAGTTTCTACATCAATGTTTTAGACTTGATTAAACAGAAAACTGCATGTAATTAGGAGAAGTGGAAAGAGGGATTGCATTATATGTTCAAAAAGGCAAGAAAAGGATGGCAGATGTCAAACTAGGTACTGTGGCACTCGCCCAAGTAAACCCATTATGCACAAGGGGAGTGCTTTCAAAGATATCCCACAATGGCGATTTACAAAATTTTAAATTTGTTTCACTGAGATGAAGAATATCCATACATATACAATAAATAAAACCAAATACATTCACAAGCATGTGTAGTTCTTTCCATGCAAAATGAGACTTCTCAAGCCCTCTGTGTAAATGTGTCGAATTTACTGGTAGGAATTAGAACAAAAACATGCAATGTGTAACTATTACTCTCCCAAGAATGAAAGAATATTAACATAACCGTAACAGAACTGAATAAATTTATTTTACCTGTACCTTGCAGTGTATATTTTCAGCATCTTTTCTCAACGGTACTCTTACACTTTAAAAACCTTTCTCTTGTGATAATTTTATTGTATTAACGTTTTTAACGCATCTGTTATTTTATAAGAGGTACAAAACAGGAGAAAAAATATAAACCTAAACCTCTTTACACACAAAATGCTTTCCAGGTACAAATTATTTTGGGTTGGTTGATATAATTCAAGGAAAAAATCAATCAATAATTACATTACACACCTAAGTTTTAACATAATACTGTTTAATCTAATATACCACATGGTTTTTAAACGAGAAAATTTTTAGAAGTATGTATTAAAAAATGAATATTGTATCTCGCTTACTCAGCAGCAGCACCATGACGATAGAAATATGCAAAAACTTTCAAAAATTCTTCTTTTGTTGCAATAGAATAGAAGTGCTCTGGTTCTTCTGGAGCAGGATCAAATATAACTTGATTGCTTTGAACTATAATATCCTGACAGGATCCAAAACCAATAGCAACTTTCGTTCCAGCATCAACTGAAGCTGATTTTTCTTCTGAGAGTAATCCGGCAAGAGTTTCTGCAAGCTTCACTGATTCATTTTCGGATTTATTTTTATTATATAAATACGCGACAAAAACTATAGCTAAAGAAATAAGAGTGCCAATCGAGATTTTAGTAGCTAAATTTATCATACGTTTGCTGTATTTTACATTTAGAAAACGCCGTTCCTTCCCCCTCTCTTTCCTTTTTCTATTCCTCCCACCCATTTAAAAATATATCACAGTAAAACTTTTTAATTCCCTACAATTTATCAGTGTACGAAAACCATCCCGCACACACGTGTGTACAATTGCCAAGAAGGAAGGAAGAAACAGCCACTGTTTATTTTCACGAGATCTTTTGGTTCTCTTCTTCAAATGCAGTCCGATTTTTTAATTTTTTTGTGAAAATTTATGGAACAAGGCTCTAACAGATTCTTTTTGAACTGATTAAATTAATTTCACGTTTGCACTTATAGTTTTCAAAAATTTTTATAGGTTAAATATTCTTTTTACGATATATTTTCAAACTAAATTATATGTATTTTAATTTGTAGTGTATTTCCAACGAAACATTTGCAGCTAGGAAAAAGCTGAAATATTGAAAATACACAAAGAACATATTTAAACAACATTTTAAAAACTATTTGGAAAATCATAGACATTTGAGAAGTAAAAACTACAACTATAGCCATTGTTGATTTTGGTACAAAAGTCAAATTCGAAAGCAGTATTTGTAATGATAGTTTATTTTTGACTAATTTTAATGACTGCACTTGCTAATGCATTAAAATAATTCCTTCAAATTTATGTTAGCTCTGCAATACTAAAATTCATGATCGTAATTACTGGTGAATGATTCCATTTCTAAAAATACACATTAGGTATGTTTATAGTTTTATAATTCTGCAGTTTTCGCTATGTTCTTTGTAAATTTGTTTTTATAACATATATACTAAATAATTAAGTGATTTTGCTGCATATATAAATAAACAAAAATGAATTGACATCTGGATTAAATGCTAGTAATCTGTAATTCTTGCTAAACATAAATTAACCCGGCTTTATTCGCGCAGGGTATGAGATACCCACCTTCCTGAATTTTTTAATATTCCTTCCTAATTTTTTTAAAAATGGATGAGTCTTCGTATAGCTGACTCTAAGGTCATAACCTTGAAGTAGAGGAAACCCTGGGGGGCCGAATTCTGAAAATAGTTCTTCGAATATCCCCTCGACGGGTATATTATAGCCTGTGCGAGTATTTGTGTTATAGTTCAGCTTTATTCGCGCAGGGTATGAAATACTCACCTCCCTGAATTTTTTAATATTCCTTCCTAATTTTTGTTAAAAATGGATGAGTCTTCGTATAGCTGACTCTAAGGTCATAAGGTTAATCTTTGGATTATGGTAACTTGGCGAACATTTGGCAACCAACCCTGCTACAGCAACCTGTAAGTTTTGTTTTGGACACCATTTTGTTTTCACGAAGTAAAGGCATTTTTTACTCAACATTTTTTCCAACAATCTGCTAGCTGAATTACGCTTATACTAGAACTTTTATGGAACAAAAATGCTTAATCATGACGAAGATTAGGTGCGAAATTGGGAGAAAGTGCAGAATCGCAAACTGCTTGCCGCGTTTTTAAGAATTGCACATACACGGTATCATCCATGTACACGTCGACTTATTTTCACTTAAAAAAACATCCCAGGATTGCACAAAAATAGCATTGCGCACACTCTTGACTTTATCCATGTACACTACTAAACTCCTAGCTAGTAACTTTTATCACCTATCCTATCCTAGCTAGTAACCAAAATGTCGCCAAACTACCTGTTACCATATTCTAAAGATTAGCCGGTCATAACCTTGAAGGAGAGGAAACCCTGGGGGCCAAATTCTGAAAATAGTTCTTCGAATATCCCCTCGACAGGTATATTATAGCCTGTGCGAGTATTTGTGTTATAGTTCTGAGTATGTGAATAAGCTTTAAAATTGTTCTTCCGATCGCAGTTATGATGAAGAAATGAGACATTTGAGAAATTTATTGTATAATTTGTCTTCGGATGAATAACTGTCATTGGAACCATAAGAAAAAATAAAAGAGAGATTCCTCCAATATTTTTTAATTCAAAGAAGAGCGAGATTTACTCCTCCATGTTTGGTTTCCAAAAAGACACAATAATTGTCTTATATACATAAATATAAGAATGTTCTTCTACTTGGAATATACTACAGTCAAAAGTCGTTAATTCAGACACCCATAATCAGGAATGATCTATAATCCGGACCTCAAAGCTACAAACTTTCTGCGCATGCGTTGGGTTCACGAATGCGCACAGGCGTTTACAAGTGCGCGTAAGACCTTTACGGCTGAGAATATGTTTGTGCGCATGTAATGTGTAACGGAGGTAAGCTAAAATTATCTAATTCAGTTAATGTTGCAGATTGCATTGTTCCTTAATCTACAAATTGGATCCGGCTTATTATTTTTTGCAGACTGTTAGAGCAATTTCATAAAAGTAAGCTTGAACTTTCGATTATGTCAAATAGAATTTCCGATATATATTTACTAATATGTAATTTGTATCTACAAAGCGAAAGTATGTTTTGAAATTCGAAATCTGTTTATCAATTTCACGCCGCGGATTGGAAGTTGATCTGTCAGCACTATCCTTATCTTCAGGGCAGATGTTTTTATTTTATTTGGCTTATGATTCCTTACTAAGTGTAGTATTTCATCTCGATGTACTCCGTCTTTGATATGATTTAAATCAAGTTCCTCGTCATTATAATTCTCTTCCGATAGTGAAGAAAGTGACCCAGAGGTTATTGAAAACAAAAACATTTCGATTGACAAATTAGTCGGTATTCTCAACATAGCAATTATAGGACTTGAACAGCAGAACTTTGTAACTAAACAAGAAATTATGTCTGTTTAATAGAATTAAAGAGAAAGTATTATCACATGAAACGAAGCAACTTACATTGAAAGAAATGTTTAATAAAGTAAACAAATAAATATTAAGCTTTTTCTTTTTGTAAATTTTGATAGCCTTTAGATCATAATTGTTCTTTATGTCATAAATTACGGTTTCATATTTTTAATTTTGTAATTTCTGCATGCCATCTTACCAGATTTAAACTGATGATCTATAATCCGGAAAAATCGATAATCCGGAATCGCCAAAGTCCCGACGAGTCCGGATTAACGACTTTTGACTGTACTTCAAATATATTAACTATGCATAATGATGATGTAATAGACTATATTTAATCGATAGGAGAATCGAAAAAAACCTGAAATAACTTTCTGCAATTTATCTAAAGGAGCAATTGACATTGTAGACAAAATTGCTGCCACATATTCAACTGCTAGGAAATGTAATCGTTAACCCACGGCAATATTTTTTTCACTGTTGAATGTTGCTGTAATAAATGTGCGAATTATTTTGGCTTAATATTCGGATTATGGTAATTTGGCGATTTTTTGGCGACCAACCCTGCTACAGCAACCTGCTAGTTTTTTTTTTTTTTTTTTACGCCATTTTGTTTTCACGAAGTAAAGGCACGTTTTGCTTTATTTTTTTCCCTCAACATTTTTTTCCAACAGTCTGTTAGCCGAATTACGCTTATGCTAGAACTTTTATGGAACAAAAGTGCTTAATCATGACGAAGATTAGGTGCAAAATTGGGAGAAAGTGCAGAATGGCCCACAGCTTGCCGCGTTTTTAAGAATTGCACAAACACGGTATCCATGTGCACATCGACCTATTTTCACTTAAAAAATCCCCAGAATTGCACAAAAATGGCATTGCGCACACTCTTGACTTTATCCATGTACACTGCTAAAGTCCTAGCTAGTAACCTTTATCGCCTTACCAAAATGTCGCCAAACTACCTGTTACCATATTCCAAAGATTAGCCTTATTTTGTTATGTACTAAGAAACCATCTACTGAACATCAAACAAGGTGATCAGTTTTGAAATATTTGTGATTTCAACTTGCAGAAGAATAAAAAAAGAAAAAAAAAAATTAGAAGCCAGGAAGTGATGCTTCCATGGAACTTAAAAGAAGAACTAAGATCCAATGGAGACATCACACCACCTACAAAGAAGGCCAAAGTAATATCTAAGAGATGCACTGTTTACGTAATAGAAAAGGCAGAAGAATTAAATTTAATTGTGAAAGGTGTGACAAAAATATATGTGTGTAGAACACATGTCATGTATTTGCAGAAAATATGCAAAATAAATGTAAGTAACATGATTAACTAGTTTTACAACTGTAGTGATCTTTTTAAAACTTTTTATGACTTTTGTGCATAAATTTTATGGTAGAAAATGTAATGAAACACCCTTGGGTATGCCATGCCCTGCACGAGTAACACCAGGTTAACTAGCATCTACTTTTTCGATTTTTCTGTTTATACGGAAAATATAGATATTTGCATCGTTTAGTTGCTGTTTACTGCTATTGGAAGGCTCAGGTGCAAAGCACATGGAAAACAGGCGCCTAGGCTAAAAGCCTCATCCTGTGTCTAACTCATGGAGAAGTAGCATAACGTTCTTATCATAACATTAGATATGTTGGCTGAGAATTCTGAGAGAGAATTTTCACATGATGTTAAATACGAGCCTTTATATATAAGACTTTCAGAGAAGAAGTTAGACTGCCTAAGATGTAGAAGAGATAAATGAAATTTCCTGCATCGCTATTGGTCCGTCAGATGGGGAGTGCTAATTCATTTCTAATCTTCGGATTCTGCAAAGTTGATGAGCAACATAGCTGCTTGAAAGCCTGTTTTTAATTTCTTTGCAGAATTCTTTGCTGATCTGATTTTATCAGTATATGAGATTATGGACGTTAAAAACGAGTTTATCTTTTCATCCTGAAACCATTTCATTGCATCGCTTAGGTCTTTAGGGGGTGGAGTAATTTTGCCCTTCAGTTTCTCACTGTATGTAGCTTAACTGAGATTTTTCTGCACTGCAATTTCAGCAGTTTTGGGGCTAGGGAAGTTTTCTTCAGAAAATTCTGTAGCCTTGCATTGGGGAGGACTATTTTTCTTTTGGAATCTTTTTTTTTTTTTTTTTTTTTTTTACTCACTGCAGCCTCTATAGCTGCTGATATGGCAAAGTCTGCATAAAATACATTTAGGTTTGTCCTCAGGTTTCATGTTGCATTCATTGCTTCTGTGCTGGTTCCCACACTTCACGCATATTACAAGGTTACCGCAGCAGTACCATTAAGAGAGTCCAAACTGCTGACAGCGGTTGTATTGAACTGGTCTTTTCTTCGGGTTTAACTTTTCTATCATGATGTTAAAGCTGAACATTCTATTTAGCTGGTGGCTCTTATTTCCTTCAGGGGTTCTTTTGAGTTCAAGGAGGTAGATGGGGAGCTTGATTTTCTTTCCTTCATGACTTTTGGAAAACTGCTTCACTTTTAAAATAGGGAAGTTCCTAAACTTCAGTCCCTGGACTATGGCATCTTCTTGAATAGTAGTTGGGAGGTTCTTCATTATAACACGGATAGGTTTTTCAAATTCAAACTGGTAGGAATGGAAGGGTATCTTTTTCTCTAAAAGGAGTTCATTCATCAAACTGTAGTCAGTCAGGTTCTTGGTGTAGACAAAAATTGAGTTTCCCCTCATTTGGGAATCGTGGGCCTCTGCACAGTGTATCATTAACATTTCGTCCAACTTCATCCAATCAATTTCGTTTGGGGAAAATACAATCGATGGCGGGCTCACATCATTGGCTCCTTCTACAGGGCTTTCCTCTGCTATTTTCCTGAGTAACTGGAATCGGTTCTCTTGCGGTATCTTCATAGGAACTGTCTTTTCTTGAATTTTAGGAGTCTTCATGGAGTAAATCCAA